TAGAGCGCACTTCACCAACCAGAACCTACACACGACGGCAGCCCATCATACGGCTTCGTCCGCTCCAGCCTCCTCAAGCAGGGCCCTCACATAGTCCTCCAGGAGCATCAGCGCTGACACGGCACCGCCAACGATGTCTACAGCTGCAGCCGAGTCTACGCTCGCCGATACTGTCCGCATCACGGCGAGCAGGCGCGGGTCCAACACGGTTCCCGAGGCGGGCACAGGCTGCACTCGCGTGGACACGACAGCCAGATCAGCTGCAGCCATCGCGCAGCGCTGGAGCGGATCGTGAGGCATCTTGCACGGGCTCACTGAGCTCCGTAGAACGGAGTGTGAGTCCGTCAGCATCTCCACAGCATACCCCATCGCCCTCTGCGCGTGCCAGAGCCGACGAAGCGTGGCGATTGGGATCGCAGTCTCCGCCAGCCGCTCCCTCCCCCGCAGGCGCTCCAGCTGCGCCCTCTGCGGCATCCGCAGCCCACCCGAGCGACGCCGCCCCTGGTCCCCAGGAGGCGAGTCCTCGCCCGTGGACTCCGCTCCCCCCATCTCCGCTGCTTCTGCCCCCCCCTCAACTCCAGTCGGTGACGCCAGCGAACGGCGGGGGGGGACACAGGGCGCTGTCGCCCGCTCGCCGAACGATGCCGGTGCCACCATCGGCGGTGGGCCACGGGACCATCCCGCCACCGACACATCCGGGGGCGTCGGCTGCCAGGGCGGCAGTATCTCCGCGGACCGCACGTCCATCCGACGCGGATCGAAGGGACCGGCCGAGGGGAGGACTGGCGGAGGGGGTGCGGAGGGAAGGGACGCCAAGAGGTGCTGGCTGTCAAGGAGCGGGAGAGATGTCACACTGCGGGGAGGGAATGGCGGCGTCGGTGCCTGAGGAAGGGGCAAACGCACGGGCGGCAAGTGCGCCTGCTGGTACTGCTGGGGCGCCAGAAGCTGCGGAGAATACGCCAGAGCCTGCTGGGGTTGGGCGACACTGCGGAACAAGCCCTCGAGAGTCGCCGCGGCCCGCCCTAGGCGCCTCTCCGCCGCGGACCCACGGTTACTCCCCCCGCCAGCCCTCCAGCCGACGCGCTGGCCCGAACGCCCGCGCGGCGCCTGCGGAGTCCGGCGCTGCTGCCCCAGGCCCCGCCTGTGGGCGGCGCTGAGGCGTTCCTCGGCGGGCGGGATGCTGCTGGCGTGGTGACGCTGCACCTCGCCACGCGCCACTGGTTCACGTCCAATCTCCACGGCGCGCTCGGGGGATTTCTCCTCGTGTCTCGGGGGCGCGGCAGTCCTGCCCCGCGACTGCCCCCGCATCCGCTCGGGAGTCTGTCGGCGAGCCGTCGAGGGGCCGAGGAGCCCGCGCTCCCAATCCCGGCTCGACGGCGCTGGAGGACTCGCCCGACCTTGGGGCGACTTGCTGTCCCCAGTACTCTCCAAATCGGCAGAACGCTCCCGCGCTGGTCGCTCCATCCCGAGGAGGCGCGCCGCACTCGGCACCCCCCACGACTCGGCACGAAAGCCGAACGATGACCAGGGCCGCCCGAGAGGAAACCACGGAGGCGGTCGCGGAAGACTCAACGCACGGACGGCCGGAGGGCGCGGTCGCGGGGCGGCAAGGCGTGGCAATCTGTCCTCCGATGGAGGACCACTGAACGGATTCCAGCAGGCAGCGAATAGGGCTTTAAATGCCTCGGAACTGCAACGAACAACTGATGAGGAGGAACGGGCGGACGGAACTTATATACCAGGGGACCAGGGAGACCCCACGACTGCAACCTCCAGCGAGGAGGGAAACGTCGAAACAAACAGGCGCGCTGGAGGACGAGAGACTGACCCATCTCCCAGATCCAGGGGACGAGGGTCCAGCCGCTTGCACAATACTCGGGCACCGCTGGACACCCACCCCCAGGCAGCCCAGCAGTTGTCCCCGGAAGAACTGGCGAATGACCCCTCCAGATTCGCCGTCATCGCCACTTGGGACGTCGCAGTTCTCTGCGACAGTCGCCAACCCCCTCTCTCCCGCCGGTTACCCCCCCAAATCCGCCAACTTTTCGCGCTCGCCCTTCTGACACCCTCTCCTTTTCCTCGCCAAACATCCAACCTCCATCGAGGGTTGGATCTTGTTCCTTTACCTCCCGCGCCTCACACTTCGCCTACCCTCGCCACGACGCCCTGACTGGCCCGCGACGGAACGACGACTTCGACAATTTCTCGCGGGCCAGTGGGACACACTGTATCAAGCAGCTGCCTCTGCTGTCACCCTGCCACCCCCCTCCCCGCCACGTACCTGACACTCTCGGGAAAATATCCCGCGCCGAGGGCTTGGTACGACGAGGCAGTTTGCGACGGGCACTGCTCGCGTTGACTTCGACCCCAGTCAGCAAGTCCACCCCCACGGTCCTGGACGTGCTGAAGTCAAAACACCCCCCTCCGCTTGTCGAAACCTCACCTGGCCACGGCTTCGACGAAAACTGCAGGCCCCGACAGTCGATTTCGCTACGTTCGCGAAGCTCCTCGCCCGCTCCGAAAATGGAGTTGGGGCAGGCCCCTCGGGGATTACTTCGAGCACCTTCGCGATGCCTCGCTGTCCAACCCCACCGTCGCCACAAATCTTCCACAAGCTCGTCCAACGGTTACTGCGGGTAACCTGCCGCACGAGGTCAGCCACTCGTTACCTCCTCACGCCTCCTGGCCCTTACCAAGCCCGATGGGGGTACCCCGCCCATCGCAATAGGGAATGTCTCCACCGGCTGCGCAAAATCCGCGCTAATCTCCGCCACGCAATCCGCGCAAGACTACTTCCTACCACACCAATACGGGGTAGCCATCAGAAGCGGCGGAGAACATCATCCATGCCACCAGGGGCTTTCACCTCGCGCGCCCGGGCTCACTCATCCTACAAGTCGACCTTTCAACGCCTTTAATAGCGTTGACCGTGGGCATCATCCACGCAATCAACACCTCGCCCCTGCGCCCGCTCCTTCCATTATCCAATTCTCCTACGGAGCGCCGTCTCTGCTCTACTCGACGCTGAGTTCGACAGCCCGCCCCTACTCAGCGCCGGGGAGTTCGCCAAGGGGACCCATGGGCCCCCTCCTCTTCGCAGCAGCCATCCACCCAGCCCTCCAGACAACCGCCGCGGCTCCACCCCGAGGTCCTCTGCCTCGCGTACGCCGACGACATCACCTTCGTCGGCAATCCGGACGCCTGCACCTTGGCGTTCCTCACTTCACAGCGGCCATGGACCGCATCGGTCTCTCCCACAACCCCGCGAAATGCGCGCCTGGTCAGCCGAGCGCCCTGCACCCGACCGCCTTCCCCCAGGCATACCTTTCAACACGAAGGCGTCCGCGTGCTTGGCAGCTTTATAGGCACAGCCGAGGGCACAGCCGCATTCCTCCGCACCCAGCTAGCCCTGCTAGCCGAACCCCTCGCCACACTGGCCACAATGGACCCTCAGTCCTCATCCCTCCTCCTCACACGCTGCGTGTCCGGCGTGTCTCATACTTAACCCGCACCACCCCCCTTGACTTCCTACCCTTGGACGTCTGGTCCGACTGGGGTAGGGAGCTCTTCCATACCCTCCTGCGTGCCTGCAACCTCCAACCGCCTCGGGGGAGGTGGAGCAGGCGCGCACTTGGGCTCAAGCGTCCCTCCCTCCCTCCCTTGGAGGACTGGGTCTAACCGACCCCGCAATTGAGGGATACCCAGCCTACCTCACCAGCCTCACCCAAGCCCAGGGCCTCTTGGCTGCCTCCCAGCAGTGTCAGGAGGGCCCCTGGCTGACGCTGTCCGGCACCTCACGCCACCTTTCACCAGCCCCACCCACTTGCATACCTGGCTGGCGAAGTGTGAAACGGCGATGCCCCCACGAGCCCGGGAGCTCCTGCACTCCGAGAGGAGGGAACCCTCCGGCTCCCCACTCCAACACCGCTTATCCCTCGAAGTCCAGGCCGTGCGATACGCCGGCCAGGTGGCAGCCACGCGGACAATGGACCCAAACCCACTCTCTGGGCACACCCCAACGCCTCTTTTCCCTGGCTGGATATGGAGCAGGGGACTGGCTTCATGCCATCCCCATCTTCCCATCCCTCCGCCTCGAAGCTCCACACTTCGCCATTGCCCTGGCCTTCCGCCTCGGCCTTCCATTCCCAGCCCCCCGCACTTGCAACTGCGCCGAGGAATTTGAAATCCTCGACACCTAGGCTGCCCAACCACCTGCTCGGTGTGGCACCGGGCACGGTCGGACGACACCCATAATGCCCTGCGGGACGAGAGCATACGGATGGCCCGGATGCTGACTTTATAGTCACCAAGGAGACCACCATCTACAGCCCCGTAGACGGCCACAAGGCCGACCTCGCCCTCCGAGACCGCAGTTCCGGAGCCGTCTGGATCTGTGACGTCACTGTCACAGATCCCATCAGCAGCCGGGACCCGGACGCAGAAAAGGACGCGGATACATGGCCCGGAGCAAGCTGACAAGAAAATCTCCCCATTACCGGAATCGGGCTCCGTATGTCGGATTTTTCCCACTTGCAGTCGAGACATACGGCTGCCCCATGCGCCGAGGTCCCTACCTTCCTGAAGCTACTGGCTGACACAGGGGCCAGGAGACTTTTCAATGCGGACCCCAGCTCCTACCAGGCCGCAAAATTGCTCCACCAGTTTCGCCAACGCTGGTCAGTGACGCTGCACGGGCACAGGCCTGGCTTACCTGGGGAAAGTTAATGAAGCCTCCCCTGCCCCCACACCCCAGTGGGTACCCCTGACGCCGACATGGCCCCGGGGACTGCTTTGCCATAGCAGAGCCCCTAGGGGAGCTCGTGTAGTTTCGAGCCCCCAAACATGCACGTACCTTGCCCTGCTGCCCCTTGCCTGCCTTGCCTAGCCCTGTACCCAGTTTTCCAAGCAATAAACGGACCGCTTGAGAGAGAGAGAGAGAGAGAGAGAGAGAGAGAGAGAGAGAGAGAGAGAGAGAGAGAGAGGAGATGAGAGAGAGAGAGAGAAGGAGAGAGAGAAGAGGAGAGAGGAGGAGAGAGAGACCTTCTGTTCTCTACGACGAGTCTCTCACCTTTGTCACCGTCCTCGGGGTGGCTACAGAGACTTACGGGTGCTGCTCGGCCGACACGCTAGAGTTTCTCTCCCTCCTCGCAGGCCTGGCGGCTACCCGCAACCACAACGCGGACAGAAAGTCCACGCTCGCCCAGAAAATGGCAGCCTCATTCCGCCAGCGGTGGGCGGTCACCCTCCAGAGGCAGCAGGCCATGACGCTGCACAGCAAGGTCAGCCTCTGCACAGAGAAAGCCTTTGCTGCTGGGGCCGACATGGAGACCCCTCTCACCTTTGGGGAGTTAGAAGCAGTGATTGAAACCTAGACGAGGTCTCCCGAGCAGCGGAAGGCTGCTGCTGGGGACCACATGTTGCCTGTCATCTCTGAATTGTACATGTACAACTTATAAGGCTAATACCTAAGGACCGCTTGAGAGAGAGAGGAGTCAAGCTTGAGGTCCTGCGCGGCTGCGGCGTTGTTGTAGAGCACGGAGAAGCAGTGGTGCGAGAAGGCGTACACATAAGCCAGCGACTGCAGGATGCGGAGGCAGCGGTGCCTCGTGGCGCTGTCCCCAACCCCGAACTCCCAAACCAACCCCCCATTCCTCCTCAGAGCATCCCCACTCACCGCTCACGTCCTGTGAGGGAAGTGGTGCGTGTAAGCCAGCGACTGCAGGATGCTGCAACAGCGGTGCTGCAGAATGAGTGGTGCCCCCAACCCTCAACCCACCCCCCCCATTCCTCCCGAAAACACCACTCATGTCCGTGCCGACAAGTGCCCCCCCCCCCCCACTCACGTCCTGTCAGGGAAGTGGTGCACATAGGCCAGAGACTGCAGAATACTGCGGCAGCGGTGCCTGGTCGCACTGTCCGCCAGCCCACGGTGCCGGACTGCAGCTCCTCCACCTCGCGGCACACCAGCGCCGCCGCCCTATAACTCCTCGCCCCCAGGTGCAGCGCGCACACCAGAATCGCCTGCACCTCCTGCAGCCGATTCCCACTCAGCGCAGCGCTCCTCCCCGTTGCTCCTCCGCCTCCCCCGCCTCCGCCGGCGCCCTCTCCCCCTGCTACCACGTCAGCGAGCATGGTCCCCGTGGCAGCGTCAGGGGAGAAGAGGATGCGGTGGAAAAGCGAGGTGAGGATGGTGACTGGGTCCTTGGGATCGTCGGGGAAGAGGGGCTCCGGGCCTGAGAAGGACATGTGCTCGGCCAGCACCCAGAGGAGACGCACTCGGAGGGTGGACGAGGAGAGCTGGAGGGTGTAGCCCGTGGGGAGTGGGAGGGAAGTGACGGGGAGAGAGAAAGCGAGAATGAGGAAAGGGGAGGGGGAGGAACGGGGAGGGGGCTGAGGGGCTCGGGGCCCGAGAAGGACATGTGCTCGGGCAACAACACCCAGAGGAGACGCACTCGCAGCGTGGACGAGGAAAGCTGGGGGTTTGAATTAGGGGGAGGAGCGGAGTGGGAGGCAGCAGGGGATGGGGGGTGTGTGGGTGGGAAGGGGAAGGGGAAAGGGGTTTGAGGGTTTGGGGCCGAAAACGAGCAGGTGTTTAGGTAGGACTCACAGGAAGCGCACTTGGAGCGTGGACGAGGAGAGCTGGGAATAAACGGACGATGAAGAGGAGGGGGACGGGCGGATGAAGAACGGGGAGGGGCGAATGGGGACGGTAAGAAACCGGAGGCGGAGAGAGGGTTTGAGATAGAGAGTGCCTTGTGATGTGCTAGCAACCCGAAGGCTTGCACTTGGAACAAAATAACCCACGCACCACAGCACCCCTCTATCACACACCTACCTTCACACACACGCACACCCACCCACCCACCCACCCACCCACCGCCATAGCATCGTCCAGCAGGTGCCTTGGAGAAGCTGATCGTGGTGTACAGCCTAGCCTTTGTTCCGCCCTGATAATCTGCTCTGTCCAGAAACACACCTACGCACCTTGGGTCACTCACACCCACACTCACCCCCACACCCAAGCACACCCCTCGTCACGCACACCCGCCTCCTTAATGTCTTCCAGCAGCTGCCTCTGCAGCGTGAACAGCCTCTGCTCCGCCCTGAAGCACACACATACTCCCACCTTGAGTCACACCCACCTTGAGTCCACCCACCTTGGGTCACTCACACTCACCTCCTTGGCGTCTTCCAGCAACAGCCTCTGCTCCTTCTAAATCCACACACATACACCCACCTTGGGTCACTCACACTCACCTCCTTGGCGTCTTCCAGCAGCTGCCTCTGCAGCGTGAACAGCCTCTGCTCCGCCCTGAAAGCACACACATACTCCCACCTTGAGTCACACCCACCTTGAGTCACACCCACCTTGGGTCACTCACACTCACCTCCTTGGCGTCTTCCAGCAACAGCCTCTGCTCCTTCTAAATCCACACACATACACCCACCTTGGGTCACTCACACTCACCTCCTTGGCGTCTTCCAGCAGCTGCCTCTGCAGCGTGAACAGCCTCTGCTCCGCCCTGATCTGCTCCGGGGTGGCCCCATCCTTGGCGCTTTTCACCCCGCCCGCCGTGTTATACACCTGGCACAGCCGCACCAGCAGCCGCAGGTAGCAGTCCACGGCATACGTGCGCCCCCCACACTGCCACCGCACGCACGCCCTGCACACCTCCACCACCTCCAGCGCCGGTCTGCCCCACGCCTCCCACCCTCCGGACGACGCCTCTCCAGAGACCACCGCAGCAAGGGACCCCCCTCTACCCGCCGCTGCAGCAGCAAAGGAAAACCCGGCCCCTGACTCTCCCCCGTAGCCTTCCCCAGGTATCCCTCCCCCCCCACCCCTCCGGTTAACCCGCTTCCCATGCCGCCCCCCTCCTCCCCCCCCCCTGCCCCGAACCCTCCCGCCCCTGCTCCTGCTCCTCCCGCTCCTCCTCCTACTCCTCCCCCGCCGCTTCCACTAGCCAGCTGAAACGCGCTCTCTACCAGACAAGCAAGAAGCTCCTCCCTAAAACAGCCCGCTCTCCACATTCGGCACCACTGACAACGCCAGCTCTTCCTTAATCTGCGGGTCGTCAAAGAGGGACGAGACGTCCGTGCCCGTGACGGGCCTCTGCCCCTGCGCGCCGATTCCTTAGAGAACAGATCCACGCACAGAGGCAGCGCGGCAGATGCTAGCCAGCGCGAACCATCCGATCCGCCTCGGCTCTTAAGCCCCGGACCATGAGCAACAGGCGCTTGAAGAGCGCCGCCTGCGTGTGGAATGTCTAGCAGCGGGAGGTTCGACACCACGGCTTTAACTATCGCCCTCTCGCCCCGCTGAGTACTCCTGCCGATCCCATAGAGAGAGGAACGCAGTCACAGGCCCTGTCGCCCACTCCGGTTTCCCTCCAGGGACGGCTGCGAGAGCGAGGATCTGTAGGCCCACTTCGAAGACTATGGACGGGTCTAGGGACGCGAGGTAGGGGGATAGGTGCGTTACTATGTCTGCCACGCCCAGCATGCGCTCTGTGTTGACTAGGTCCTTGCGCTCCTCTGCTGCTGCTGCTGCTGCCGCCGCTAGTGTGTCTGACGAGACGGTGGCTGCTAGGGCGGTGGAGGACGAGGACGGGCGACGGGAGCCCACCCTGCTGCTGCTGCTGCTCCTGCTTACCTCCTCCTTTCCCTTGCCAGCCTTGCTCTCTTTCCCGTCTGCTGCTGCTGCTGCAGTGGCTGATGATACTCCTTTCTTCTCCTTACCCTTCCTCTTTCCGTCTTTCCCGTCCGCTTTCCCACTGCCACCACCACCGCCAGCGTCCCCATCAGCAGCACCAGCTCCAGCACTCAACCCAGCACTCCCACTCCCACTACTCTCCCCCTCTCTTCCTCTCCCCCCCCAGCACCGCCGAAATCCCCCAGCCCTAGGCAGATTTCCCCGAAACCTCCCAAACCAGCCCACCGTCACCAGTCGCACCCACAGACACGCTGCTGCTTCGTCGCCTCCGGGCTCCCTCCTCCTCGGGATTCAGCATCATTCGCAGATCGTCCACCGAGGCCAGTCGCAAACGCCCGGGCGGCGTACGCAAGCGGGTAGATCGACGAGCGGAAGGCGTCCGGGGTAAGCAGGCCCGCACGCGCGATTAACATGTCCCGCTTCCCCCACACCCAGCCCGGTCAGCGCCACCACCAGCTGCGCGCGCACCGCGGCGGAGGACTCGGTCGGAACGAGCCTCTGCGCAGCGATTCTACTCATTTTTTTCGTGGCGAATTCGGAAAATAGACGGCCCACGGCGTCGAATGGCCGCCGCTGCGACTATATCGGAGGGATCTAGCATTGAGAGGCCGATCTGGCGCCACCAGAGCGAGACGCGGTCCAGGAGGGAGACGGACTGGCGCGCAGAGATTAAATTACGTCGTCGCGTAGGAGGAGGGTTCCGAGGGAGTCCATCGGCGGCTTGTCTTAATCCCACGTGGTCGTGGACTATGCAGTTAGAGAGCTCCTTAGAGTGATCGTCGAGAAACTTTCCGACCCGCCAGCCCGGAAGCGCGACGACGAAGCGGAGCGCGGCGGCGGTGACGTCAGGATCCGGGCAGCTGAAATCATTGTGCATGCCCCGGCACACCACGTCCCAGTCGTCGTCCGTTAAGTGGCCCGCGGTGCGGAGCGCATCGTACGCGAGCTGCTTGCTAACAGCGTTCGCGCTGCCGGCGATTAACTCCGTGCAGAGGAGCGACGCGAGACAGGATACGTCCTTACCGCCGGCTGCCAGCTGTAAGGCGACTAGGATTGCGGAGGTCTGCCGGCTGACGTCATTAGATACTATGTCGCCCCGAATGGCTTGAAAAATGACCTGATCCATAACTGGAACGGTGAAGATTAAGGACGAAACGAAAATCTGGAGAGCGCTACCGCCGCCGGCGCCGCCGGCGCCGCCCCTGCAGTTGGCTTATCGACGGACCGTTAGGACCCACCTCGGTTAACCAGGATATTTATGCTGGAAACCCCGATTTAGGTTGGAAAAACCGTCCACTTTAGAGAAACGGTGCTGGTAGTAAACTTCCAGCAACGCGAAAACCGACATACTCTTAGGGGCCTTTCATAGCTACTGTCTGGCGGTTGCGCAGCTGAATGCCCTTAGACAACAGCCATGACTGTATTATCAGTTGCTTCTTCTGGGAACGGTCGTGTAAGTGAGTGCACAATTTCTTTCCAGATTTGGGCTCAGCTGTGAGCAGTGATTAGAGCACCCTGCGAAGCCGTGCGCAACATTGGGCGGGCTGCATTGGGCTCGAGCCAGGTCAGAAAACCGAGCCCGGCGCTCAGTCTTGCACAGAAATGCCGAAATACAGCATTTTCATTTGCCAATTTGTCCAACACTGAGCTGCGGGCTCGGTTTTCGCCCCAGCTCGGGCGTAATGTAGTCCGCCCTAATCTCGAGGGACTCTCCTCCACTCGCAGCGATAGTGTTGGGAAAACTTGCCTGCCACGGACTGTCCACGAAACTTTTCAAACTCTCGTGGACAGGCCCTACTTTCATGGACACCACATCGAAGTTTCGCTTCTACCGTGGACTCCGTCATTACTTTCGTGGACTCCAGGCTTACTTCCATGGACACACGCATATTCGCAGTTAAAAAGGAGTATACAGAAATGTACAAGTGATTAACGGGCACAAAAATCGAAATACTCCATACTATCTGTCCGTAGCAAGCCATACTATATGTCCACACTATCTGTCCATCACGAGCTACAGTATCGGAAACCAGTTCTGAAACAGAATCTCGGAGCTTTTCTGGGAAAGAGTTTGCAGCCGTACTCAAATATGCAGTGAAAGTTAAAAAACATAGTGTATTAGGGTCCGCCTGATAGAAACACTTATCATTCAAATCAGAGCTACTGAACAAAAACATAATATGGACGTGCTTGACGAGCCAGCATAAATCAGTAGTTGTTTTCTCCTTCATAATACATTATTTCATTATTAGGAGTTCTCTGAACAAAAAAAAGCACCCGTGAAAGATATTTTTATAATCAATTATTTTTATTTGCATTAGTATATTTCTTTTTCACACATAAAATTATATTCCCAAAATTGTGAATCTACAATACTTGTATCATTTTTTCATCTATTATTATTTTATCAATACCTAAAACCTTCCATTTATATATCCATATTTAACAAACGTTATTGGTCTTTATAGATTTTGCACCTTCATTGAAAATTCAAGCTAAATATTAGTTGAAATGTTAGGAAATTCCTGAATTTATAGTATTCCCGATACTTGGTGGGCATAAATTCCAAACCGTTATCTTGGGAGTACTATGATTTTTACTGTGCTCTATTAACCTTGTAACCATAATATCTACCTTTATTCTACAACACGAATCTTTTGTAGAGAGATTTCGCCTACTCGATCTGCTACACTTGTATTTCAGCTAAAACTGCTTCTTCACAGTCATTCAGATGAGTTTAGAGGATCGCTTCATAGTTTCTTTAAACACGTGAAACAGTTAGCGGACTTGGTGACTTGCAATTACTGTAGCTTGCGACTATTTGCGAGGGACTTGATTACGCCATAATTTTGTTTTTTCCTCCCGTCAGCATCTGTACAATTCTTTTTTTTTTTTTTTTTTTTTTTTTTCTTCAAATTCGCGTGTGTCCATGGAAGTAAGCCTGGAGTCCATGAAAGTATTAACGGAGTCCACGGGAGAAGCGAAACTTTGATGTGGTGTCCATTAAAGTAGGTCCTGTCCACGAAAGTATGAAAAGTTTCGTGGACAGTCCGCAGCAGCAATTTTCCCGATAATGTTGGCTCAGATAAACGGACGAAAAAAGGTACACCTACTATTTGAGGCGGGCTATACGGGTGCACTCAAAGTTGAGTGGGCCGATCAAGGTTTGTTGCACCTTATTCCAGTTTGCATCACAATTTGATCAGCTACAACAACTAGGAAAATGTTTTGAAAGGTTCAAAAAAATTATTGGATCAATCAATGACTCCAGATTTGCCTATCCTGTTTACAAGCATGTTTTGCATAGGACAAACAACAGCATCAGCCAAATTGCTATCCCCAAGTCTCTCCTACCAAGGATGAATAAAAACAGGGGTGCTGGACTGGACAGCCCAAGATGTAGAAGTAAACCAAGTGTTCAGGGTGGCCAGGATCTAGAGTTGGTGGAACCACGAGTAAAAGTCAGCAGAAGACTTAACACCTTGTATTGGAAATGCCCGAAATGACAAGGATAATAATAATGAGGAATGCATGCATATTTACAGTCTAGGAAGAACCTATTCGGATGTACCTGTTCGTAGTGTATCGCGACTATTCGCGTGATATGACTAGTGACTGTTCGTGTGACTGAGAGTGGCGTGACCCTTCGGATGACTATGCGCGCGAACCTACAGTTCCCGCATTGACTCGCTACTGCTGACGTCATCACGCGCGTCCTTACATATGAGGTATCGCGTATTAGGTTATCGAGAGAATCAATGACTAAGCAAAAGTGTCGAGGGGTACAAGAATAGTGCCTGTACCCTCTAAGAATTGTCTTACTAGGCTATATACAAATATAACATAGCTAAACTAGAATTATATTTGTTGACACACCACCTAGCCTAGATATTGGCAGTTCATAACAAGGAAACGTACACCAGGGCGGCACTACTAGTCTGACCTCTGGTGAGGGTAACAAGACAACTCAGTGCAGCACTACTAGTCTGACCACTGAGACAAGAGACCACAAGGCCAGTCAGCAAGTGTAGCAAGGCAAGCAGGTATAGTATGGCTCAAGATACAAGGAGCGGTGGTGCTATAGAAGCTAGACCAAGCTGAGTATAGAACCATTGATGGTCCCGAGGCGCAAGTGCCTTGGTAAAGATATCAGCGGTGTTGGCCTCTGAGGCCAACTGTACTACACGAACCTGACCGCACTGCTACAACTCACGCAACAAGAAGTACCGCAGCTGGATGTGCTTCGCCTTGCCCTCAAGCGACCCTCCTGGCACAAGAGGATCATGGCCCTGTTGTCAGCAAACAGGACCGAGGAAGAGCTAGGCTGCTCTCCTAAGTCTTTGAGCAAGAACGTCAACCAGCGGAGCTCCTGAGCGGCCATGGCCCCAGCATAGATCTCTGCCTCATAGCTAGACTGAGCTGCAGACGACGACCTGGTGTTCCTCCACGAGATTGCACCAGCACCAAGACTAAAACAGTAGCCTTGAGATGACCCGAGCATCTCCAAGTCGTCAGCCCACGACGCGTCTATGTGTCCAGTGAGCACCACTGGCTCCTGTCCTCCTAGCACAAGCTCGGGTCCTGATGTACTCACCAGATACCGCAGTACCCTCCTCGCAGCCGACCAGTGGACTGGTCGGTGCCTGCCTGTCGCAACAAAGCAAGCTAGGAGACTGAGGGGGTACACTAGATCTGGTCGAGTGCATGTCATTAGGTACATGAGGCACCCCACAATGTATGGATCACTAGCCTCGACCGGCTCAGCCTGAACAGGAGCAGAGAGCTTGTGATAGGAACTCCAGCACCCCCAGAGTCCACGAACGGCTGTTGCTGCGGGGCAGCGACTGCTGCGGCGGCGGCTGCGACGACGGCTGCGGCGGCAACTGCGTGCGGGAGGCATCATCCAGTCGTACACCCTGCCGGACTCCCCACAGCAGAATGGGGTTGCTGAGCGATGCATCAGCTTGGTCATGGAGGTGGCTCGTACCTCCATGATCCATGCCGGCTGGTGCACCTCATTTTCTATGGCTGTTCGCTATTCGCTACGCTTCTCACCAGCTGATCCTGTGGTCCCACTCCCAGCGGCCGCAGGTTTCCCCGACCCTCCTCTGGACCGGGTCTCCTGATGACGCGTCTGCGTTCCACGTCTGGGGATGCCTCGCTCATGTTTTTGCCTACGGCACGGACAAACTCACTGCTTGCAGTGTCCACTGTATCTTCCTTCGCTCCCCCCTTGTCTCGTCTGATTGGCACTTCTACGACCCGCCGTCTCACCGCTTTCTTCACTCGCGTAATGTCATTTTCGACGAGTCTATCTCATTTTACCGTCGCTTTCCCCACCAAGGTCTCCCAATTTCCCCACCGAGGTCTCCTAGTCTCTCAGCGTAAGTGCGAGGGGTCGGGATGTCAAAGGCGTCTAGGTCACCCTCAGGGACTAACAGCATGGAACAGAGATGGGGAGCAACCTCGGACAGGAAAGCAAGCTTGTACTGCCTGTCCTCAAGGACGTCATTGCCCCCGACAAACGGAGGGCAGGCAGGACCAGAGACCAAAGGTGTGGCGTAGTGAAGGTGCTTGGTAGAGGCGAAGTCGGCGATAGCAGCGACAAGAGCGTCAAGACTCGAGACAGGAACAGACGGGTCGGTAAAGAGGAAGGCAAGGACCCGAGGAACAAGAGGACGTGCAGCCAGAGGGGGAGGCGCGACAAAGAGCAACGACGGAGGTGGAGACGGGAGGGGAGGACGAGACACGTGGGAACGAAGCAACATAGGGTGAGAACGTGGAACAGAAGAGATAGGACGAGCACGAGAGGGACGGCGAGACTAGACGTGGGACGGAGGCGTCGGGTCAGGAGACAGAGGAGGAGAAACAGGGGGGAAACGAGGCGGGAAACGAGCGGGGACGAGTCCGGCGGAGGAAACACATGACCGTGGACGAAAAGGGGAGGAGGCGGCAAAGGAGGGGCAGGCAAGCGGTCAGGGGAGGGAAGGCTGTGCAGGCAAAGGCGGACATCGGCAACGTCTGCTGCTGCTGCTTGCCGACGCCTACACCTGGACCGCCAGCTGCACCACGGCTACCTTCGGAACACTCCACTCCAAACACCCCCAGAGCAAGCACCCCCAGAGCGCGAACCCTCTCCAGCACCGGTGCCACCCCCGAGCACGCCGGGACAAGCCACGATAGGAACCCCAGGACTAGCACCCTCCTCAACACCAGCACCCCCAGAGTCCACGAACGGCTGTTGCTGCGGGGGCAGCGACTGCTGCGGCGGCGGCTGCGACGACGGC